TGTCTGAGCTGTGCAGGGCCCCAGGGCTTCCCTCCATGGCTGTGGTGCCCTCTGGGACCACCCATAACTGGGTGCCTGTGGGTGGGTGCCATCTGGGGGGGAGCCGCCACTGCTGCAGAGGGAAGCACCAGCCCCCCTGCAGCCCAAGGACCCCTCTGTCAGCTGGTAGCTCGCCCTCTCCTCCCTGCCAGAGAGGCAGGTAAGTCAGTGGGGTGTGTGAATGACATGGGGGGTTTAATCAGCCCTAAATTGAAGCGGTGTTTTTTAAAACCCACCACTTCAATTTAGGGCCCCTTTTTCATCTACACATGCCCATAGAGTCAAATTTTGCCAATTTTACTGCACCTGTTCTTAGTACAGTCTCAGATGAAACTTCTCATTGCCTTCACTTGGTAAAAATGAGCTTAGATTGAAGGGATTAGTTCTGGATCATGAAGTAATCAACTATAGACAAAGTGTGATTTAATCAAAGAAGGGCTGTGACAAGCAGTGTTTGCAGTACCTGATTTCAGCATATTTTTTTGTTTCTCCCTAGCTTCTCAGATTTACTTCCTTCATTTCTAATCTCCCCCTTGGCTCAGAAAAGACTCATAGGTAGTTTAGGGATGCCACCCAAGAAGAGTGCTAAGGGCTTTTTTATACCTGGAATTAGCATCTGTTCATTCATGGGTATAAAAAGCAACCCCAGACAGACAAGGGTAAGGTTAAGATTTGGACCATTGCAGCTAATCTATGTACAATGAGCTCTACACCTCGGTTGTGGATTGTCTATAGTAAGGGTTAGCATAATGCAGCTGTAACCAAGTGCTGTTAGCCTCTGAGCATAACATAGATTAGAATTCCCTTTTAAAAATACCACCTTTCCTCTATGGTTTCCCAGTTAAACAGGAGTTTATGCTCTGTGACTTGCTTAATTCAAATTCAAGGATTATGTTCTATTTAGATGGATTCCTTATCAAACATGCCCTAATAAACTTCCTATTAAAATTCCAAGAGTTAATAACAATTACCAGGGCTATATAAGATAGTTTAGGACCAGATTCTATTCCACCTATTAGCTGCCTGCATATGATTCTTTTCTACCCTTTTCGAATCTCTGCAAATCCATTAATGCAACTACTTTTATAACAAGCTGTCATCTTTCCTTTAATATAGATACTGCTTACAGATGTAAAAAAACAAATGTTTTTTTAAACTCTGGGCACCCCCCAGGCTGAGCCCAGCACATGCCCAGAAGAGGCACTGTGTTGAACCTGGCTCGCCCAATGTCTGTATAGATTGGGTGCTTCAACAGGGCTGTTTTGGTACTTTTTATCTAATAGCCTATTGAATCAGCTATTAGATTAATGCATCAACCCGCCCCTGGAACTCCTGATCCATACAGATGCTGCGGAGCCAGATAGAACTAATGCACTGCTTCTTCCAGGAAAGCGCGTTTCCCCCCTCCATGTCTGTCAGTGCTCATAGTGATAAAAGAAAAAAAAAAAAGCAGCAAAAACCCACCATCTCTAATAAAATTAACCTAAATTCCTGTAAACAAAACCTTTGTACCCACACCATGCCATCATTTATTTCTATATGGAAGTGTGCAGGTATCAGATATTTTTCTTGGATGCACCTGGCTATTTGATAAATACCAATATCTTAAGGGGTAAAGCCACTGTGTAAAATACGATTTTCCACAGTTCTCAGCATCAGTTAATTATACTGAAAAATCCCTTTATTGTCTCAAATTTCTATTTGAACCAATTCAATATTTCACTTTCTGGAAATACCTTGTACAATATGTTAAAGAATATTACCCTTTGCCCTGACTTTTAAAATGTTTAGCCGAATGTAATGGAATTCTACAGAAGAGAGGTAACTTTCTGTAAGATAGTTCAAAAGAATCCAGATGCTCAGCTGATATAACTCTATAATAGTTTCATTGACTTCAATGAAACTATGCTGATTTATATCAGTTGAGGGTCTGGCTCATACAGTATAGAAAGGAATCCATTCTTGTTTTAAATTACCTAGATTTTTAGATCATTTTCTATAAAACCTTGCTAGCTTCATCCCTGTTAAATTCTACAGCACCTGCCTATCACATGGATAACTGAGATTGCCCTCTGATTTCTTCCAAAAGTGCCACTCCAATAATTTCTCTCCTTACTTTGTGTTGATTTGGATATACAACCTGCATTATTGCTCACTGCAACACCTGAAGATCGGCCAGTGCTACGGATGAAATGCCTACCAGTACTCAGAAGAATAGCAAGCACAACCTGATAAATTTAGATTCTACCTTCTCTGTGTCTGCAAAGGACTCCTCAGCAGCTGCTGCATCTCAGAGATGTTTGTTCAAAAGAAAATATAAGGTGACTTGTGAAGATATGCATATTGCTTAAAAGTATAAATATTATTAATGAGAACCCTCCCATAACGATGTCAGCATCCAAGGGCAAGTACAAACTGGGCAACTGAGTCATGTAATCAGAAGGGCCACCTTAGACAAAAGCTTCATGATCCAATTGTGATAAAAAACTTAGCTTTGCAGGCTCACTGAAGTCAAAGGCAGCTTTATGTACATGTGGAGTGAATAAGGGCGGAAGGGCTGAATGCTTAAGACCAACTTTCTAAGTTGAGTTTTCACTTATGCTTTCCGTAACCAGTAATGCACACCAAGGGTGGGGTGGCACCAATGACATATGCATGGGGCCTGATCCAAAGCTTATAGCTGTTTGTTGAAGTTAATGGGCTTTGTGTAATGTCCACCTATTATAGTATACAGCTACAGGAAAAAAAGCAAAGGCTAGTTATTATTGCCAACAGACAGGAGATCTTGGGTCTGTTTCTATGTCTGCTTTGGAGTTGTGTGACCTAGAGTAGTGGTCTTCCAATCTGTATAATGGGAATGAAAATATTTTCTTGGCAATTCCAGCACCGAAGCAAAAGAATAAAGGGATTATGCAAAATGCACTTCCTATGCATCCTTAGCAGTGGTCCCTTCAAGACAGGATGAGACAATATAGGGAAGCTTGCATTTCACTTGCCTAATGGGCAGCTAAGAGATCACTCTCTGGGACTGAAATTCCATTCACCGATGACAAATCCATACACATATGCCCACGCACCCTTTGATATTGTAATGTAGGTATTTTTGTTGGCATAACATCGGAGCAGATTACGCTAGCAATAATTGCTGTGGAGCTAGGAAATTCTGCTTCTGTTTTAGTTTTCCTTTTCAGGGAACTTTATTTTTTTTTCCCCTTAGCACTTACCGTACCGTAAACAAACTTGACATGACAGAAACATAAACATGACCATAACTTAAACCTATGTTACATTTAGGTTATATTTATAATATAAACCATAACCTAACACAGAAATAGCATAACACTAGCATAACCATAAACACAATCATAAACATAATATAGCATGAACATGCCATAACCACAAACATAACCATAACCCTTAGATGGACATTGCACAAGCACAAACACAGCAGAAACACAAATGTAACATAACTATAACATAACATGACCATAGCATACATCACCGTACCGTCAACTTAAGCATAATATAACTATATCATTACCATAACCACAACAAAACATTAGCATACTATAACCATAAACACATCATAGCTCACTACAGTACAAACATAGCATAAACTTATGCATAATGCAACTATAACTTCAACATAGCCATAGCATAACCATCACTTAAAAATAACATGAACATAAGCATAACCATAGCCACAACAACATAAACATAGCATAAATATAACATAAATATAATGATAAACATTAACATAAACAGTTTATTAATTATATGCCTTTCTTTCTTGAAGTTTTCAGGTCCAGAATTTATCATTCTCTCCAGGGAACCACCAGTGACCTTACATCTACCTGGATCAATTGTGGTAAGTATGAACATTAAAAATTTAGAACCAATCTGGTGATCCTTCAGTTGAGTCTCCATCTGGCCCTATAGAACCACTCTTCAATTATTTGACTCCCTGGGCAGAATCCATGCCTCACCACCCATGAGGCCCTGCAAAGGTAGAACCTAAGGAAAGATAAACATCACACCTTGGTACATAGAAGTCATAGAAACATAGAAAGTTAAGGTTGGAAGGACCTCAGGAGGTTGTCTAGTCCAACCCCCTGCTCAAAGCAGGACCAGCCCCAACTAGATCATCCCAGCCAAGGCTCTGTCTAGCCAGGTCTTAAAAACCTCTACGAATGGAGATTCTATTACCTTTCTGGGTAGCTTGTTCCGGTTCTTTACTACCCTTCTAGGGAGAACGTTTTTTTCTAATATCTAACCTAAACTTCCCTTGCTGCAACTTGAGATCATTGTTTCTTGCTCTGTCATCTGCCTCCACTAAGAGCAGTCTAGCTCCATCCTCTTTGGAACCACTCTTCAGGTAGTTGAAGGCTGCTACTAAATCCCTGCTCAGTCTTCTCTTTTCCAGACTAAATTAGCCGAGTTTCCTCAACATCTCCTCATAAATTATGTGCCCAAGTCCTCTAACCATTTTCGTTGCCCTCTGCTGGACTCCATCCAATTTGTCTACATCTTTTCTGTAGTGGCGGAGGCATACAAAATAGGACACAGTACTCCAGATGTGGCCTCACCAGTGCCAAATACAGAGGAATAATCACTTCCCTTGAGCTGCTCCTACCAATGCAGTCCAGTATGCCATTAGCCTTCTTTGCACAAAGGCACACTGTTGGCTCATTCAGCCTATTGTCCACTTTAACCCCCAGGTCCTTTTCTGCTTAGACAGTCATTTCCAAGCTGTACTACTGCATGGGATTGTTCTGTCTTAAGTGCAGGACTTTACACTTCTCCTTACTGAATCTCCTGAAATTCCTTTTGGTTCAATCCTCCAATTTGTCTAGGTCTCTCTGAATCCTAGCCATACCCTCCAGCGTATCTACTACTCCCCCAGCTTTGTATAATCCACACAGTGGCTAAGGGTGCACTTCTTCCCATCTTCCAGATCCATTGATGAAGACAGTGAACAAAACTGGCCCCAGGACTGACCCCTGGGGTGTTCCACTTGATATCAACTGTTAACTAGACATTGAGACATTGATTACTACCCTTTGAGCCTGATGATCCAGCCAGTTTCCCATGTTCCTTACAATCCATTCATCCAACCAACCCGTATTTCCTTAACTTGCTTGGGAGAATGCTGTGGGAGACCACATCAAAAGCCTTGCTGAAGTCAATGTAGATTATGTCCACTGATCTTCCACCATCCAGAGAGTCAGTCATCTCACCATCGAAGGCAACTAGTTTGGTCAGACATGACATGCCCTTGGTGAATCCATTCTAACTGTTCCTAATCCCATTCTTCTGCAAGTGCTTGGAATGGATTCCTTGAGGATCTGCTCCATGATTTTTCAGGGACTGAGGTAAGGCTGACTGGTCTGTCCTGGCTTCCCCAGGTCCTCCTTCTTCCCTTTCTTAAAGATGGGCACTATACTTGCCCTTTTCCAATCGTCTGAGACCTCTCCTGATCCCCATAGGTTCTCAGAGATAATGGCCAGTGACTTTGCAATCACATCAGCCAACTCTCTCAGCACTCTCAGGTGCATCACTTCCAGCCCCATGGACTTGTACACATTGAGCTTTTCTACATAGTCCCTAATGCAGAAGTGGGCAATTATTTCAGCTGAAGGGCTGCTTAATGAGTTTTGCTGAGCTGTCAATGGCTGTAAGGTAGCCCCGCCCCTTGACAGGTGCCCCATTCCCTGGTCACCATCTTGGGACTGGAAGTCCCACCCGTAACCCTTGACCTTTGCCAAAGGAAGTTCCTCCCCTTGCCCCCAGCAGTACTCCTTTTGGGAGGGGAGGGTTGCTGTCTTGGAACCAGAAAAAAACCAAATCATATACTAAAAGTCAAACACCTACTATAAAAATATTTTAATTTTATTGCTAAAAATATTTTTGTCATGATTTGTATTTGCATATTATATATAGATATGATTGCATAATTATGCAAAAATAAAGTCTTACTCTTGTATATTGTGCATGGGGGTGGGGTGTGTGGTTGGGGTGGGTGTGTATGGTGGGGTGTGTGTATGTGGGAGAGTTGTGAGGGGGTGTGGCTGTGTGGTGGGGGCTTAGCTTATGTTGGGGTTTATATGTGGGGGGGTTGTGGAGGTAGGGTGTGGGTGTGTGGGGTTTGTGGGGTGTGAGGGAGGGTGGGAGGTGTGGTGCACAGCCCCCCACATGCCCCATGGCGTATAGCCCCTGCTGGTGGTGGCAGCGGTAGCGGCCCAGCAGCATGTGGCTCCAGCCAGAGCTGAATGTGGTGGCAAGGAGCACAGCAAGGCCAGCCTGTCTCTATTGCGCAGGGCTCCCTGTGGTGTGCATGCAGCTCCTGGCACTTGCAAGCCACTGTGAGGGTAGCCCTGTATGATGGAGCTGGCTGCCTTTTCCTCCCCCTGCCATGTAGGTCCTGGGACTCTGCCAGAAGTGGAGGGGAGTACCACACCCTGCTTCCCAGCAGAGCCCTCAAGACATGCATGGCACGGAGCAGCAAAGGTAGCTGGCTTCATCACACACCAATTCCCCACCTGTGGCATATGAGTGCTGGGAGCTACATGTGCACTGCGAGGAGCCCCACACAACAGAGGCGGGCTGGCTTTGCTGCAGTCCTTGCCTCTACATGCAGTTCTGGTTGGAGCTGTGTGCCACCAGGTGGCACTGCCTGTGTGGGCCATGAGCGCCCTGAGGGGCTGCTGCCTACTGTTGCTGCCAGGGGGGAGGCGTAGAGGGTGCATGTGAGTGCACATGCACCCCTGAGCATTGCGGTGCACCCCCTGCAAAAGGCACCACCGACACTGTCAGTAGTGCCTGCAGGCGGTTGCTGCTCGCCACTGACACCACCAGCAACATCTGTGGGTGGTCCACGATTGCTTCTGGCCGCCACTGCTGGCAGCGCCTGTGTGTGGTCGCTGATCCCTGGTTGGCGCTTGCCACCCCCTGCCCCCGCACCGCCGATAGAGCCGGCAGCATCTGTGGAAGTACTGTGCTTACTGCTGCTGGGCTCTTGCTGCCACTGCTGCTGCACTCCCACCGCTGCCAGCGCAGCTGTACCCCCACAGCCGCTGGGGGCACGTGCCATTCTTGGTTGCTGCTGCTACAGGTGGTGGAGGCTGTGTGCCACGTGTGCTGTGTGCCGTGCCTATGCCCCCGCTCCCCCCCATCCCTCACATCCACAGCCTGACCACCCAAGCTCTGCGCTCCCACCACTTCCCCTGGGTGTGGGCTTTGCACTCCGGCCAGCCCCACACTCCGTGCTCCCACCCAGTTGCAGCTCACCCTCCCCACACTGCTTCCCTTCCGGCTGCCCAGAGAGAGTGCTGCAGCAGGGAGATAAGGAGGAGCCACTGGATGGTGGGGAAGCCAAGCGGGTCCACTGGAGGCTGCAGCAGTGACAACAGCAGTCCCACCCAGAAGCTGTGTGCTGACTGGGCCAGGCCCTTCTATGCATGAGGGAGCAAGGCACACAGGCTGGGTGGGGTACAAATAGTAGGTGGGTGCCTGCAGGCCAGATGAAATTCCTTGGCAAGCTGGATCTGACCCACAGGCCATATTTTTCCCACCCCTGCCCTAACCTGTTTTTTTACCACTGGCAGCTGCTCACCTCCTCCCCAACTCAGTTATCCCCCAAAGGGGGATATCATTCAAATTTTACACCATCTTCAAGAGGATAGTAGGGGAGTAGGAAGAGTAACTATAGACAATGGTGAGGATAAGTCACAATATTTAGAGTTCCAGTCATAATACGTGCAGTAACAGGCAGCTGAGTAAGGACAAAACGTGTAAGTGCTTCTACAAAAATAGTAGAAACCTAAATATAAGATGGGTAAATTAAAATGCCTAGTATTAAATCATGACTTTGATATAATAAGCATCTCAAAGACCTGGTGAAAGGATGATAATCAATGGGGTATTGTTATACTGGCTTATAAACTATACAGGAATGACAGAGTAGGACATGCAGGTGGGAGACGGGCACTGCATTTTAAGGATACGATAGACAGTAACAACATAAAAATCTTGTCCAGAAGGGAAACTACCACAGAATTACTATAGAAACTCTGTGCTTAAATAAAAAGGAACATAGTGGATTCATCTACATCTGTACTGTATGGCAGAGTTGACTTGATTAGTTCTGCAGTAAAGCATCCCTGTTTACATGTGCGCCCCTATTAGGGCACGGTAAATTAATTAAATCTGCTATAGGATAGTATTGTTTTGGACAAGTATTATCTTACAGCAGAGTTATTCAGTGTGCTGAAACTCATGTTTAGATGGTGACCAGGGCTGGCTGGGGTGGAGGTTGCTACAGTGTGGGGGCTGCCTGATTGCTAGCCCTGCACTATAGCACCCTTGTACCCCAGCCAACACCTCTGCAGCATGTTGAGCCAGGGTGGACCAACTCTGGGCTTTCAGGCTGAACCTTGGTCCCCTGCCAGCCAGGGCTGCTCTGACCTGGATCAACATGCTGTGGTCCCAGGCGCATCTATAAACATTGCTTCTGGGAGTAATAAACTGGTGTGAACTGATCTGGAGTTTATTGCTATGTACTAATTGCATGTGTAGACACACCCAGTATTAGGATTGTACTACCAACAGCCTGATCTAAGGGTGAAGGTGATTCTGAAATGCTTAGGGAGATTATAAAAGCTGCAAAAGTAGGACATGCAGTAATAATGGGAGACTTTAACTATCCTTACCTAGACTGGATAAACACTTCAGAGTGAGATACAGAGATAAAATTTCTGGATGTAATAGAAGACTGCTTTCTAGGACAATATGCCTTGGAACCCATGATAAAAGAAACAAGTCTAGGCCTAATTCTGAGTAGTGCACAGGCTTTGGCTCAAGAGATAACTGTAGGTGAGTCATTCTGCAACAGTGAGCATAACATAATCACATTCAACGTGCTAGCAGGAGGGAGTAAGCCAAAGAAATCTACCACACTGACATACAACTATAGAAAGAGAACTTACACAGAAATGAGGAAGTTAGAAGTTAAAAGGAGCAAAGACATAACATGTCTGCAGGAAGCCTGGAAGCTGTTTAAAAATACCGTATTAGAGGTGCAGGAAAAGTGTATAATGGAAATAAAAAAAGGGTACTAAGCAGTCCAGTAACACCCCTGCATGATTTAATAGCAGTTAGAGAGGCTACCCAAGGCAAAAAAAGTCATCCTGCAAAAAATCAAAGGCATCCCTAAATGAGGAAAACAGAAAAGCACACAAACTCTGGCAGGTCCAATGCAAAAGCAAAATAAAGCCAGCCAAAAAAGAATTTGAGGAAAAGCTAGTGAGAGAACCAGTGGGAGCATTAGACTACCAAAGTATAAAAGTTACACTCAGGGATAATAGAGCCATAGCAGAGAACTATATTAATTATTTGTTTTGGTTTTTACTGCAAAAGTTACTGGGGGAATTGGAGGGACTGGATGTATTCAAGTCAGCTGGTCTGGATGATCTCCACCCTAGAGTACTAAGGGAATTGGCTGAGGTCATTGCAGGACCCCTGGCATGGCTTTACGAGCACTCGTGGTGCTCTGGTGTGGTACCAGAGGACTGGAAGAGGGCCAATGTGGTTCCCATCTTCAAAAAGGGGAAGAAGGAGGACCCGGGAAACTATAGGCCACTTAGTCTTACCTCGATCCTGGGCAAGCTTTTTGAGAATTATTCTGGCGCATATCCACAAGGGGCCAGCAGGGATCATGCTTAGGGGCAACCAACATGGGTTCATTAGTGGCAGGTCCTATCAGACCAACCTAGTGGCCTTCTATGACCAGATCACCAAATCCTTAGATGCAGGGGTAGCAGTGGAC